AGGTTTTCGAACACGCTCTTTACGAAAATCGTGGTCTCTGAGGATTACAGTGTCCTTTTGGAGAGATACGGTGAAGTAACTGTAACTGCACCACGAAAGTGCGTAAATTTGACCGCACTCCTCACGTATCTCTCAGAAACCTTGCTTGCTTGCTTTCCTAAGTCAAAGTGACTATGAACTGAGCTGTCGAATGGTGCATGAACCGGGCTCCAATCTATAAAATTCGCCGAGTTACAAGCCTACGAAAACATGTCCTCATGAAATTTGCACAAAATGTAAAGATCGCGTACTTTGTTGAAATTCACCTTGAGTGGTTGCATGACTAATTGCAAATGTTATGTTCACCCCGCCCGCGTTTTATACAACCACTCAAGGTGAATTTCAACAAAGTACGCGATCTTTACATTTTGTGCAAATTTCATGAGGACGTGTTTTCGTAGGCTCGTAACTCGGCGAACTTTATAGACTGGAGCCCGGTTCATGCACCATTCGACAGTTCAGTCCTAGTCACTTTGGCTTAGGAAGGCAAGCAAGCAAGGTTTCTGAGAGATACGTGAGGAGTGCGGTCAAAGTTACGCACTTTCGTGGTGCAGTTACAGTTACTTCACCGTATCTCTCCAAAAGGACACTGTAATCCTCAGAGACCACGATTTTCGTAAAGAGCGTGTTCGAAAACCTCTATAAGCGAAGTTTCCTTACAATTCAAGAGCATCAACATTTTGACCAAAATCCATCAGGTTTCCAGAGTCCAGCTTCCAGAGTGTAAAACGAGAAAAAATGAAATAACCCGGACATCTCGGAAAACTAGCTCGTAGAGGTTATCCGGCCTGATGATTACGATAATCACATCTGCTTAGCAAGATAGCTTCATATTCTATGGCTATGGCGAGTAGAATTTGGGACGACAAGATTTTTCCACAGTTCACCAGCCCATCTATTTCCTTTGAAAAGAAAATTGCGGCTACTGTTTAGCGCATCACAATCTGCAGAAAAAGTACTTTCAAAAGGTCTTTGCTAGTATCTACTGGGGACATTGCTCGCTGCTTTACACCTTCGCGAAGAGACGTCCGCAGAAAAGTTAAAGAATACTGAAATCGAGATATCAAGGAGATGCTGTATACCAAAAGATTCGCCTTGATGAGCTGAGCACAGCACCGTTTTCGGATTCAGAATATACTTATTCCGGAGGAAGTTACGGCGAGTAGAATTTAAAAGCGCGTGATTTTTGCAGAATTTATCATCTCTTTTCGCGCTTTATAAAGCATGTCTCCGTCTACTTTTCACCGCTGGATTATCTACGGAAACAGCTCTTTCCGATTCGCCTCACCGGAATCTTTTAAGTGTGATAGGGCCTGGCCCACAGCGTTGCAAAGAGGCGTCTGCAGAAAAAAGTTAAGTTTTGCTGGAAGCAGAATATCACAGTCATGCGGCGTGTCACTTTGCTCACATAAGCAACAAGACATGCTGATCACAGAGACTATAATTGTTTTGCTAATCATAGCGTTACTGTATAGTTATGTTTGTTTGACGGTAAGTGGTTCATGTATATTTACTAAGCTCTCGTACTCCTTTCTCTTTTTTCCACTACAAAAAAGGACATGATTTTCTGCTGGAAACACTCAGCAGAAAGTCTTCCATCAAACGCTCTTTTTCTTAAACCTTTGCCTACATTATGCGCCGAAATACACACTCTAGAAAACATCACCACAGGATGCAACGGATTCCTACCATGCACTTACCGTGACCGGGCCGATTACAGCAAATACATGAAAAGATTCGTCTCCGCGAGCTGAATCCAAATCTGCCTTCAAATTTGAAATCCATTGAAAACGAAGGGAGTTATGACGAAAAGACGCAAAGTCGGCGACATCGGCGACATCGGCGAATTCGGCGACATCGGCGAATTCGGCGACATCGGCGAATTCGGCGACATCGGCGAATTCGGCGACATCGGCGAATTCGGCGACATCGGCGAATTTGGCGAATTCGGCGAATTCGCCGAAATTTTTCACATTCCACTGTCACAACTGTAGTTATTCAATTACACGAAATTGTCGAATAATCGAATAACCTCTAAAAATAAATATTCGAATGTTCGAATATTTTCGAAAATCAAAATTATCGAATAACCGAATAATCGAATAAATTCGAAATTGACAAATTTCGAATGACCAAATATCGAATATATTCGAGATTTTAAAATTTTCGAATAATCGAATTTCGAATAAAATTTATTTGAATACTTTATTCGAATACTCGAATATTTATTCGATTCGGTCCAAAGTATAACAAGTAGTACTGTTAAATGATGCATGGACAATAATCAATGACATTTTAATATTATGAAAGCTGCTCTCACATCACCAATATCCCGATGCAGGAGACGTTGTTCTTATACTCCATGGACACAATTATTAAAGCATTCTTTTACAACGAGCAGAATTTCGTTATCAGTTTGGATATCTCAAATTGTTTTGAGAGGTCAATACTTTTTGCTAATCAAATCTCATCACGCTATACTTCGAGGACTTCAAAATTTTCCATCAAATTAACGAATGTGGACTAAATTCGAAGATTAAAATTACCCAGTGAAAGAATGTTGATTAGTCCGAGATTTGAAGATTTCGAATAAGCAAATACCGAATAAAATTCGAAAACCAAGAATTTCGAGTAAACGAGGTTTACTTAAATTCGTATGATGAAATTTGTATTCAAAATAGCCGAGTTTGATGCAGAGCCATATTGATCGAGCGGGTAGTCAGGTAATTTTAGATATGTACAATCTAGGTATTCAATATTCGATATTTATTCGAGATTAGACGTTCGAATATCAAAAGTCAAATCTCGAATAAATATCGAATAATTTGTTCGATTATCTAGATTGAATATCTAAAACTTGCTGACATACCCGCTTGGTCAATATGGCTCTGCACCAAACTCGAATATTTTGGATACAAATTTCATTCTCATACGAATAATAAAACATGCCAACAAAATATTCGAATAATATTGTCCAAAACCTTGATTTTCAATAACTCGAGTTTACGAATTTCAAACCCCTGTGGATTCTTTGAGTTTCGTACTCTATGCGGTACCTTGTTTTTCTGATTATTCAAGTTTCTAATTACATTTAAAAATAAGTTCGACTTTCTAGCTTTGACTGCGAATATGGTCGAATGTTTTATTTTTGAATAATCGAATTTTTATTCGATTTGCACCAAAGTACAACGTACAAGGTGACTGGTACCGCTTAGATGCAGTCGCTTTTGCTAGCGCGAAAATCACGAAAAAACCAATCTAAGATGCGGCAGTTTTTGTGCTTGTTTGTTCAAAAAGATTTACTTTATAAAAAAACTGACTTTATGCAGGTTTTTGGAGCGCTGTTATGTGGAATCGGAGTGAGCATAAATTTTGCATAGCATACTTATAGCAAGCAAGCCACGGTGCTCGGCTCTCACGCGCTTGTAGCATTAGAGGACTTATTGTTAGAAAATGCGCAGTCGTGCAAACTCACGTCATCAGGCATAAAAACAGTCTTTCTCAGACACCATGAAGTTATGTAGCTTCATAGCCAGAACACACAGTCCTAAACAACCAAACAACAGGAGCAAATCTTTCGCCGTTTTTACCCATCAGTAGAATGTTCGAACAAAAATCGACAAATATTTTGCTCTACATTGGACACTCTTCTCTTTCAAGCGATTGAAGCTGATCTTTGAGTTTGGCGACTACTCGAATATTTACGTCATATTTCAAATTTATCTTGCCTAAATTTAGTATCACTTATTGATGTGATCTTAAATCGTTATTCTAATTTTGAGAGTAGTTGCAAGGCAAGCAGATAGAGTGTACCTTAATAGTGATGTTTATTCGGATATCTTTAATTGCTTTTTGTAACTTTTCAAAATGATTTCAAATAGCCAAATTTCATCGGCGATCTAGCCGCAGATCACAATGGGCTGCTGACCAGTCCAAATGCATGTCAATGAAACAAGTGCGCCGGCTGCGCTCATATTTGTCTATCATTATTCTGTGTGACAGGCATGAACTTTGTGACCTTCTAAGGTTGAAAGTAATATACAAAGTAAATGATAAATCTTTTATTTGATTTCAGATGTGCCAACAAGCTCTTAATCAGTAGCACCACCTCAAGCGAAACCACTCACGAAGCGGCATGTGCAGCTTTTCTTTATTATTTCGAGATCTTGGCAATGTCATTAAAATGTTTAGAGGATATACTAAGGTTATCACTGTAAACAGCAAACAACAAAAGGTAAAACAACATTTTTTAACGACATCTGTATCGGCTTCTGGAAAGGATTAGGTGGCCCAAAAATGGACCAGTTCTATCTTGGGCAGTCACATCCATAATTCCAGATTCACTAACCTCAAATTGGTATGATTTGAAAATTGATTTCTCGATGTCGAAATTTTGCTTTATGTGGTTGTTATCCCATCTTATAGCAAGGAATCTGAAGGAGTTAACAAAGCATACGTGGCAAAACACTAGGTAAAAGATGTGGCTCTTCTACAGCCGATTTGTGCTGTTGGAACTTTTGAACTGTGCTGAGAGCATTTTTATTTGGCATGTGTCCACTGCGAGCCCATTTTGCGAGCGGAAATGAATTTCTACTTTTAGGTCGTTACTCGTATTTAGAACTCATCGCTTAACCATATATAGTCCGCTTCCAGATTCGTGTGGAGGCGGATTGCGGACTTCCCGAACCTCCACGTTATAGCATTATGTTTCGTGCTCTCTCATTGAGCTCATCCTTAAAATCAGGAAAGTCCGCAACCCGCCTCCACACGAATCTGTGAGCCAATCATATGTAAACCAATATGTGTGATAAAGAATGATATCTACAACACGTGCCAAGTTTGTTGGGGCTACATTCTACTATATTATTACTGGCTAGAATATTTTTTGCAACATGTTTATTCCAAAATGTGCATGTTAGGTGATGATATCTCACTACGCTTTTGACTTTGTTGAAGATCTTCTAAGGATCTTCCGAAGAAGTCGAAAGACCGAGGCTTGCGTCTCCGTCTCTGGTAGCTGGACCCGGTCCGGACTCATGCGATCCAAGCAAATCAGTTTCTGGTCCATCTGGTCCAATCGCGGTAGGCGGGGGTCCGCCTGCTTCTTTATCGTGGGAAGGTGGGTCGTGCTTGGATGAATCTTGCTCCTCGGTTGAATCGCCAAGTGGGCTCTGTTTGTGTGTTTCTCTCCCATCTGCAGGTGGGCCGCCAAGAACTTCTTCTTCCTCGGGGGAAGCGGGTGGGGGTGGATCTTTAACAGGTGAGCCGTGAAGAACTTCTCTCTGGGTGGAAACGGGTGGGGGTGAATCTCCTCCTGTGGTAGACGCGGAAACCCGCCTTTGTTTCTCCCCAGTCCGCTGCTGCTTTCGGTTGAGTTTCTGCGAAGTACACTTTGGCTTCATGTTTCCTTTCCAGGGCTCAATTTTGGCGGCACAAGTGACTTTAGTCCCATGCGAGTAGCAATTAAAGAAAAAATATATAGTTCCTTTTCGCTGCTGAAATGAAATAAATTTTTTCTGTCCATTAAGCTAGATTACAGCATTCGAATCTGGTGAATTTTCGCGCAAAAGTTCGGTGTAACGTAGACTTTTGAACAGATTGAAATATTAGCTTCGACTCGCGTGCACTAGAATGATTGAGCGTGCCACTATACTATATAGGCTATATAGGTGATTTGAACGCTTAAAGGCACCGTTTACCCTAAGTTGGAGGTCTTGAGCTTCTGGCATCCTACAATGCTAGGCCTCTATAAAGCTGATGTCCAAGTCGCGGCTCAAACTGTCACTTCGGAAGCGAGAAAACCGCTTCGGAATAGAGAAGAAACATGAGGACCCCAAGTCCCCCCCCCCTCCGGTAATGCTTGGCCATCCGTGCGCACCCATCCAATCACCGTTCCGGGAACGGGCTCGCAGGTTCTTCAGAACGGGGTTGTTGGGATTTTTGCGAATTTTCGACTTTATGTTCGGAATCAAGGACATGAGAAGGCCCCGCAACGACCAAAAGTCAACATGGAAGTCGAGAATCTGGGTGGACGGTGCTTTTAAGATTGTTTGAGGCTGGCTGCGGAGACGAGGACCGTTTCAGCCGGTTCATGAATTACTCATACATAGTCGAGCTTTCACTCATGTCCAAACTGGCTGGCTGAGGCGGAAGGGTACAATGACTTGTGGCGAAATATATCAGGACTGTTTCCTACTTACCGCTTCCCTTAACTTTGATTTGATGACGTTGACCATTTGAGTATTTCGATCTCTGTATAATGGTATAAAATCATTAAAGAGGTTTTTTTTGAGAACTTACCGATTTTCGGTTGTGTAATACATGAAACCACACTTTTCCGGAATTTTCACACCATCACTCACAGCGCAGGCGACACGTACTAACGGAATTGAAGGAGTCTAAAGCAAGGTTTCGTTTAAGTTGAGTGTTGATCTTAGCGAGTTCCTGGTGTCAAAAATGAAAAATTAAGGTTCTGCAAAATTAGCTCCACATGAATTCCACTCCTGCTTGCTTATTTGTAAACGATTTAAAAGTTTGTTGTTCGATGCTTTCATCGCATATATCTTTCTCCGAATGGAATGGCAGCTAACAAGTCGATTCTTGCGTTTTTGTATAAACTTAAGTTATAACATCGAAGTATATCAGACCAACCATGTTTAGGTCATGGTAGAAATGTCCTTGGAGTTGTTCCGCGTGTGATCCTGCTTTACTAAGTTGGCCAAACGTGACACTACATGGATAAGTATGAAGGTGGTACGTGTATTCTTCATTTACACAAATATGTTCATTCTTTTCAGATTTTTGCGAGAGCGCCCTCTCTATCTGCACCTAAACAAAAACGTATCTCAAAGCGTGCAATTCAAATTCTTCAGACTTACAAGGAGTAAGAGAATGTTGAGGCGCATCGGATTGTCTGCTTCTTGTGTACTCACGAGCCTTTTATACAATTTGATAAACATTAATTGCCTGGTTGTATAGTGCTAAATTTATTCTTTTAATTAACTTTAGACTGAGGGTACTTCGGCTATTACCACAGTGCTTTTATTGTAAACTTTCAGTGAACTTTGTGAATGCTTTTGAACGAAACTCAGCATCTACAGACCATTGTATGCAAAGACAGTGTGCTACTGCGGACGTCTTTCAGATCAAGCGCACTCTCTTGCTTCTCATTCTGCTCTCCGGCTCCCGCCAGAGTGCCGAAGTTATGCCAGCGCTACGCCAGCATTTCGATCGATACACGTGCATTTCGTTGGGGCGGGGCTAGCTGACGTCCCCAACGAAATACACGGGTATCGATCGAAATGCTGGCGTAGCGCTGGCATAACTTCGGCACTCTGGCGGGAGCCTCCTCTATTGAGCCCAAACTCAAGCGGTGTTGCTTAACTCGGCACTATAAATGACCAGATATGGAGCTGTATCTTTTACTTTCTTATAGTCATTCGAACACTAAACTAATCTTTATGATTTTTACGTGCTTGTCAGCTGGAGCGCCCCAAGTAAGAAAAGTAGCAGTAATTATGATTTGCAGCTAATGGCTGAAAAAAATACGATATGCCTTTGGTGGCAAATTGCAGTGAAAAAAGTAAGAGAAGAGTAAAAAAAGTAAACTAACCCATTTATAAAAATATCAGGTTGTATAAGTATTTTTCAAATTTGATTTCTGACTGCACTAACTTGTCTTCTCAATTCTAATTGAGGATATCATTCGATCGTGCAAAGCAAGCTCTATAATATGGCATGTATTAGGTTGTAAAGAAAGTTCCCGGGCACTTGCAAAATTTCTTTTAAATCGCTGTAACTTTGAACAGATTGATTCTTTTTGAAGCTACAAACTTCATTGCAAAGACAATTTTATCCACAACATATAATTGTGTCGCTGGCTTCTCAGCACCTCACTGCGGTCCACCAGCATGCGCACAAGGGAAAAAGGTCGTCGCGAAAAGTGACTTATTTAGGCAGGATTATCTCAGGCACGATGAAAGCTGGAGAGCACAAATGCTGTAGTTATATAGAGGTTTGCTGCGGCTGTTATGGGGACCATTCATGTTTTCGAAAGACTAGATGCAAAAAAAGTTTTCCCCAGAAAGTTTGAAAAATTGGCCATTTTTTGCCCCCAAAAAAGCACCATTTTTCGAGTAAGTGACGAGTGACTAAAGTCCTTTAGTTCTGCGCAGTAAAGACCAAATCTTTGATTACTGGCAGTACTGGTGGGTTGATGCCTCGCACATCTTTTGAACCCATCATCCAGGCGTAGCGATCCCCGCAGAAGCGACGCCAGCTGCGAAGAGAGTTGCAGTCAGCGGCAAGTTCGACTGCTTGTAATTTCTGAGCGCAAATGGCAAAACTCGAGCGCACTGGCGGGTCAGAAGTTAACAGGCTTTTCAATCAGATCACCCATGATTTGGACAAAATTCTTTGAACTGGACAAAAAATGGCCGTAGGAAGAAAAATTGTGAAATTTTTGTGGTTGAAAAGATTTCCCTTCTTGATGTGCAGATCAAACACGTCTTGACATCGATAAAAGTCAGAAGACGTATCAAAAAACTTCACGCTTCACTCTACTGAACAGTGTAAAAAACTTGTTGTCAAAGTCCCACCGAGCGCCGAAAAAATGCGTTTGAAAAGAAATTTCCAAAAGTGTCCGGAAACTTTCTTTACAACCCAAATAGTATGCACCAACTTTGGCACACGTCGAGCTAGAAGCCAAAACCTGATAAGTTCTGGATGCTCAAAAATTAGAAAAAATTCATACATTTGTTAAAAAGGATGTTGTATGATTCCCACCAGTTTACGGATGTACACTTCACATTAAACATTCATACATGCCTTTACTGCATTTTTTCTAAGCTAAAAACCGAATTTCGCGTTTTGAAAATGCGATACTGTACTGTTAAGCGAATAAACGCATCACAAGCCTTTAGGATATAATCGAGAATTTCGGCTTATTTCAAGCGCTAGTTTTCGAGAAATATCAGTTAGCTTTTGTTGCTTGGGCCTTGTCTTTAAAATTATTTTGTTCTCGGAAACTAGTGCCTTTAGGAAGCTAAACATTTGCGACTGTACTTCTTAATGTTTGTAGCAGTATACATGTACTTATGTGGAAACAGCGCAGCGTCGCTTTTTCAAAAGCATGAAAATTTTCATTTTCTCAATTTTTTAGCTTAGGAAAAATATACAGCAAAGGCATATATGGAATTCTGATGTGGAGCGTATACGCTTGAGCTGGGAACTCCTATAAGTACCTTTTGACCAAAGATACAAATTTTTCTTCAATTTTTTGAACATCCAGAACTTTTTAAATTTTGGCTTCTAACTTAAGGTGTACTAGGCTGCGTACGCTTACATGTCATCCTAGAGCTTGCTTTGCTTTAGCAAATGGTTCCCTGATTCCTAGTTAGTACTGTAAAATTTATGACTTACTGCGGTCAACAGTCAAAATTGAAAAAAAACTTATGAGACAACCTAACATTATTTCCCTTTCATCTTCTTGACTTGGCCATTTTAGATTGCAAAGGTTTTCTTTTTGCTGACAAAATAATGCGCAATCTTGAGTTTGAAATTTGACTCTCCTGATCGTCTTTCGCAGTGAAATTTATGCAGTGGTATGGGATAATGAGGAGGGAGAATACGTTTGCTCCGACTTTTTTCGGCCTCCTTGTCATGACTTCTCTTGCCAATGACTCCTCTCAGTTGACGACTTTCAGTTAGAGACAAAGGCAGACTCATGTTCAGCTCGCTGAAACGAGTCTTTTGGCAGTTTCAATCTACCGTATCCGCTTGTTGACGTAGTTACACAAAGTCTTATGCCAGCTTGACATCTCCAGTTTTTTTCTTTGGGCATGTCAGTGCAAAATACTGACATACTTTACAGAGCAGTTTACAAAAATAATTGTTCGATGCTACATAGCTCTTGATCATGCGCACCTTAGAGCCGCATGCATTAACATCCACGCTGTGGAGGGGCTCGCTGCTTGAAAAAAAAGTCTAAGTCCTTAAACTCCAGGCATCCGATTTTCACGCTGTACATCCATCCGTAACAACTGCTGTCCTTCACTAAAAACATACGAACAGGAGCAGGAAGCAGCACAAGCCGCATGTCCACCTTTTTGTACGAACCCCTGATGAACCCTGACAGTCGACCGTCTTTTTTTCAAAGCTATTTTTCTTTCTTCGAAGTTAACGAAAACAAAGTTGTAGTGATTGTCTAACCTAAATGTGCTAAGCGTGTTGCTGATAAGAACAAGTTAACTTGTAGTTTATCGCAATTTTCATAACTTCGACATGTCATTTGTTCTTGTCAGGAGCATTGTTAAATTAGATAGACCGTGGAACTTTAGCACGTTTTCATTGAGTTTGAAGAAAGGAAATGACTTTGAAAAAAAAAAGACAGTCGGCCTTTAAAAATCATCAGAGGATCATGCAAAAAGCTGAAAAATGCGGGTTTCACAGCTTCTCAGTTCTGTTCAATATGCTCATAGTAGAGTGTGGTAGGAATACTTAGGGATAGGCAAACAGATGTTAATGCATGCGTCCCTGTAAGGTGGCAATGAAAACGCTAAAAGCGTCTCGAGAAGTTTTATTCATTTATTAGGTTGATGCATAATTCCTGCACCAAAATAGGTACAGACCGCAATAACTCGGAGTAATCCTATATTCCAAGTAGGATTCGATGAACCATTTGATAGCGCAAACCTAGCTCTACAAGATGGTGCTCAAATATCTACACTAGCTTTGATCCACGCGAAGTTTTGAGCCAAAAACTGAAAAAAACCATGCGTCCGAAAACCTTAAGACAAATCTTAAAAAAATTGTAACTTCGTTCAAAAAGCTCATGCAAATTTTCTTTCTTGCTTACGCGTAGACGTTCCACGTAAGACATTTATCTATGCCGTTGCTGTATTTTTTTCTCAACTAGGCGATGAAAAAACGAAGTTTTTTGAAGTTTATCATGTTTTTGCCAAATTAGTGCTGAGATGTTCTAGTATCAACAGTTGTATAGTACATGCCGTTAGCAGTGAAACTTTACATTTTCAGCCTTCTAGAACTGCTAGTTCGCGAGAAATAACAAATCTAGCTCTCCTTATCCAAATTTTTCTTGCTTAGTTGCTAAAAATCCGATATTTCTCGTAAACCAGCTGCTCTAAAGAGCTGAAAATTCACATTCACGCTTTTAAGGTCCTATAGTATACAACTGTCAGTGCTAGAATATCTCAGCACTGTTTTGGAAAAAACATGAAAAACTTCGTTTTCTCATCGGCTAGTTGAGAAAAAAATACAGCAACCGCATAGATAAATGTCTTACGTGGAACGTCTACGCGTGAGCAAGAAAGAAAATTTGTATGAGCTTTTTGAACGAAGTTACAATTTTTTTAAGATCTGTCTTAAGGTTTTCGGACGCATGGTTTTTTTCAGTTTTTAGCTCAAAACTTCGCGTGGATTAAAGCTGGTGTAGATATTTGAGCACCATCTTGTAGAGCTAGGTTTGCGCTATCAAATGGTATATCGAATCCTACTTGGAATATAGGATTACTCCGAGTTATTGCGGTCTGTACCTATTTTGGTGCAGGAATTATGCATCAATCTAATATTTATTCATACACTCGAAGGTGTGCCAAAAAAAATCACATTACAAACGAAACATGTTAGTTCAATCCAACTCGCACTTATTAGTACCACCTAACCCACAGTATACTGCTATAGATGTCAAATAAGTGGAACGAAAGTGAGTTCCAGCTCATCTTCCGCGCCCGGTCCCTTGTGAAACCCTTAGCAGATGAGTGACAGTGGCTAATGCCACTATTCATTCAGGTAAAAATGAATAGACTAACAACTGATTTTCGGAAGTTAGGTATCCTCCGCCCTAACAATTAGCTGCTAGGCTCTTCCGTGGTGGAGATATAAGATAAGGAACAAGGGCACAAACCAGATATAACAAAAGCAATTACTAGCAGTAGTGAGG